CGTAGCTAAAAAAGAATAAAGGAAGTACACTATTTAAATCAATACTCCAAAAAAAGTATCACAGTACATATATTATTTTGATATGATGGATAAAATATCAGAATGCCACTCATGCAGGTTTTGGCCCTGTTAGGAAGTTGGTTCACTTGGTTGTTAGTCGTTAGCTAATTGTCTTCACTGGCTTGAATGGTTGGTGGAGTTAGCTATTTTGATCGGTTGATTGCATTAGTTGTTCACAAAAAAATGTTTGACAAAATTAGCTTTATTTAATTACTTGCTATAGATGTTATATATATATATATATATATATATATATATATATATATATATATATATATATATATATATATATATATATATATATATATATATATATATATATATATATATATATATATATATATATATATATATATATATATATATATATATATATATATATAGAGTTTGGATCAAATAAGAAAAAGATCTAATGAAAGAAATAAGAATAAATATCAACCGTTGGATTCACCTTATCAGCCACTTCCCATCTAAACCGTAGCAAGGGTAAAAAAGAACTTTACCACTCTGCGTTATCGTTCCACCTTCTTCTCCGTGAATTAAGCCCACGTTCCTGCGCACCTTCAGCCCCGGTTACGACGCATTTTCAGTTACCGGAAGTCATTATTTGGGATGGATTCTTCTTTAATTCTTCAGCATGTACGCCTGCGTCCTCCTCCATTCAGAATAATACTCTCCGAGTTAGGAACTACCGGCGTGCCCCCTTCGTTTAACCTATGGAATTTCACGGAGACAAGGATTACGCGATGGATTTTCACTCACAACCAGGTACCCTTTTAATTCAACCCTGCAATTTTGTAATTTTTGGTATCATTCGTGCAGATCATCTCCTTTTTTTTTGGAAAAATTTAGAATTTGTGTGATCGAAAATTTTGTAATTGTGTGAATTTCGAATATCTGGGATTAAGAACTCTGCACTAATCCTAATTCTGATCGTCGCATTTCACCAATTAATGCATACAATGAACATAGTAATGCATTTTCCCTTCAAATTTATGCACTATAATCGTCCTAGTTCACACGTCCCAGAAAAAAGAAGCAATTCACACCAATTGTTTAGCCATTACTTTCCCAGGTCTCACTACTAAAGCTGTTAATTCATTGCTTCATATTAAAACAGTTATGTGCCACTCACTGTTATATTGTTCCACTCGAGTGTAAGTCGCCTTCCACACATGAATGACCCGTTGAGGTCATGCTTCGTGCACTAACATCCTGAAACCGTTTTTAAATTATACTAGTTTAGTACTCCACTTCTATGCTGAGATTTTAATATATTCATAAAATGAAATATTTAGGTGTCATCCCCAAATTTTGGTAAATTTGCTTGACTTGAAAATGCAATATACAACTTACACAGTGCACTTTTAACCATTCTTATACCCCAAATCAAATGCACAAACTATGCTCCTACTACGTATGTTATTTCAATATCATTCCTTCACGTTGTTGTTGTATTATTAAAATAGTCCTGAATTATTCACTTGTATTCATACAGCTACCCCCACAAAGTATCAGGAAGTGCCAAATGAAGGCAGCAGCTCTTACGTTGAACGTCATTGGGTCCCGCAATGTCCTGACAACTACATTCCAAAGGTTGGCATGGTTTTTAAGGACTTGGATGATGCTATTCGTTTCTATCGTGCTTATGCTGCTGAGGCGGGGTTTGATGTGCGCAAGACTACCACTACAAAGAAAAAGGGCTCCGTTGTTTGGCAATACGTTGTATGTAGCCGTGAGGGTAAAAAACATGTCCCCACAATCCTCCACAATGATGCATCACATGACAATGGACAGGCTGCATTATCTAAACCTGGGAGAAGAAGACGCATTTCTAAGCGCATAGGCTGTATGGCACGTGTTGCATTTCGCATCCTTGGACATGATGGTTACGTTCTTAGCATATTTGAAGAACAGCACAATCATCCTCTCACTTCTCTCCCCTACAGGCCATTTTTGAAGATCAACAGGAACATTGATCTAGGCCATAAGAAGTTCATACTCAACTTTGCTAAAGCGAACATTGGCACCATGAAATCATACCGACTTTTCAAGGAGTCCGTTGGTGGGTATTCAAGTGTTGGTGCTACTGCTGTGGACTTCAAAAACTTCAAACGCGATTTGAAGGCCTATATTGCTGGTGGAGATGCTCAAATGGTCATTGATAAATTATTCCGAAAATCAGAAGTATGCCCTGGATTTAGGTTTGATTATGAAGTTGACGAGTACGACCAGCTTTCCAGGCTATTTTGGTGTGACGTTGCTGCCAGGAAAAGCTACTCCCTGTTTGGTGATGTTGTCTCCTTTGATGCCACATATACAACCAACAGGTCACACATTTATTAATTTCCACTTTTCACATCTCACATCATCCCAATATAGCATGCAACTCTTTGTTGATTCATAGCACTATCCATTTCCTTGTCACTTTTTGTAGGTACATGATGATATTCGCTCCGTTCACTGGTGTCGACAACCATAAAATGTGTGTGACATTCGGCTTTGGCTTGCTGTCAAGCGAGGACGCTGAGTCATATTCATGGTTGTTGAGATCATTCATGAACGCGATGGGGAATGCTCCAAGCTGCATCATAACTGACCAAGATCCTTCAATGCGAATTGCAATTGAAGAAGTCTTACCACAAACCAAGCATCGCTATTGCATGTGGCATATTATGAACAAACTATCAGGGAAAGTTGGTCCGGTGTTAAGCAAGGATACGGAATTCATGAATCGCATTAATCAGGTGGTCTGGACTCATTACTTGGACAAAAAAGAATGGAAAGCACAATGGCGCAGTGTTATGGAAGACTACAACCTCACGGAGCATTCGTGGTTTAAGTCACTATACACGCTACGTAAGTTTTGGATTCCAGCTTATTTCAGGGATCTATTTATGGCCGGGCTTTTGCGCACTACGTCTAGATCAGAGAGTGAAAACAGTATCTTTGACGATTTCACCGATCACAACTTTAGCCTAGTTGAATTGTTAATGCAATTCGAGAGTGCAATGGAGGACCAACGCTTCAAATTTACTCGTTTGAACTCAGAATCCGAGTCGGGAATTCCAGTGTTCAAAACCCCATTAAAGATTGAGAAACATGCTGCATCGTTATTCACTCTCTCTGTCTTTTATGATGTGCAAAAAGAGATTTGTGCATCCTGCTTTTCATGCGCTATTGTAGGTATCCAAAATAGTGAGGATGCTTCCGAGTATCAGATCAGCGATGTAAGTGGGATGATATCAACTATTCGCTACTGTCAACGCAATTTGACCACGCATTGCAGTTGCAAAAACTACGAACGCATTGGCTTGCTATGCGAGCACATATTTGTTGTTTTCAAAAAGCTGAAAATAGAAAAGATCCCCGACATGTAGGTTACCAACCGCTGGTGCAAATTCCATTTGCTCAAACCAATGTTCGATGTTGGTGGCTCAGAAATGGACAAGGTATCATTTACGGATCAAAATAAGACTCTTGTTTCTCGATTGATGTCAGACATCCACTTTTGTATTGCCTTGGTGGAACACAACCCTGATCTGCTGCTAGCATTTTCCAACACTATAAATCATCACAAGGAGGCGCTAATCGACAAACTTCAAGATGGCAAACTATCATCTGAGACATCCTCGGTGTTTGAAAACTTTTGTGGCACTTCTGCACCTTCAGAACTTCGTGTATTACCCCCTGCGCAAGTCCGTACGAAGGGCAGCGGTAAGCGTATTAAAGGAGGAAAGGAAGTTAGCATTGAAGAATAAAAAAAAATCAAACGCTTGTGTCGGACATGCCAAGAATATGGCTTCCACGACAGCAGGAACTGTCTTATGAACCATGAGAAGTGATAAGTCTGTTTTCTGGTTCCATTTTTATTGTTTATTAATGGTTCAGTTTTTTTTATTCCATTTATAAGTCTCTGTTTTTTTCCTATCTTTTGTAATCCTGAATAGTTATATTCAATTCCAATGGTTGAATGTCTCATTTCCAACCAGACCGTTGGTGTATAACATGCTCATTTTCTGAATCTACCACCTACTTTTACTCCTGTTGCATTTCATTTTTTTATACTGCATAACCATCAGTACGCACAGAACAGACCAGTCTTTAACTGGTTTTTCATATAAAAGTTGTGCATTCCACCTTTAAGATAGATTTCATACCAATATCCGCATATATTGAAGTGGCTATGATGCATATTTTAACATGACCTCATGTATGGATTTGTTTTTACTGAGGTTTTAAAACCATACATAGTGGGGTTCTGTTTACTGAAACGTGTTCTCCCCGTTCGCAGAACGTATATAAATGTTAACGCATATAATGTACATCATGTCATGTCATTATAAAAGATGCGGCTCAGAAACCCAGAAATGCACAAGCAAACCACTCGAATGCATCATTTAATCTTTTTGGGTTTAAGGATTTTTGATGGAAAAGAAAAAAAATGGTTTTATTCCCTTTTCCTCAGCAAAATGGGATGAGTTTGATTTCATTTCCAAAAATATATTTTGCCTTGTCACATTCTTTTCTTGCAACTTTTACTCTCTAACCGAATAAGACACAATCATTTTTCCTATTATTTCCTTTTCCAACCAAGAATCCTTGGGCCAAATATGGTGTTAATAAACCACTGGTGTCCTTCACTATACAAATGATTTATTATAACAGTATAAAAGTCATTTAGTGATGCATACATTGGTACTTATGTTCTATACGTTCATATCACAATGCGGCAACTTTTGTTACGAACAACTACAATTTCAATCACTTCATCAGTTGTTATGTTTACAAATCTCAAAACAGAAAACTTGTTTAATAAACACGCAAACTAACCACTTACAACACTCCTAAAATACGTAATGACAAACACCTTCTAAAAAAATAGCCAATTCATCATCACTCTACACACCACATAAATCTAGCCACAAATTCCCAATTTTGGCAACACCACAACTTCATTCAAAAAAACATAACCATTCACACCATATACAAAAAAAACCACTGCCTCTAGAAAATCTAAAAAACCCAACTATGGGCTGAATACTTGTTCCCAAAAAACAATTCCACCAATGAACTGTGTCACCAAATGTCACCAACAACAAATTAAAATAGTGAAACAAAAACACAAAGGTAAGGTGCAGCCATTCCAGGGGTGGGTTCACTTAGGACCCTTTTCTTTCCTCTCCCTTTCGAGTTTCTCCGACTCTTCGTAAACCTTGTCCAACAGTGCATTAACTGGGCTTAGAAGTATACATGCACAGTACTTGCATCGCAGCAACATCAGAGGTTTCAGATTTAACCTTGACAAGCCACAGTTCCATCCTTTGCCACCATCCCCCATATACGTCTCCATATGACGCATGGTTGCCACACCGTAGTCAAACGTAGCCTTCGGATCTCTCCAAGGGAACGTAATTCTCTTAGCAACCATTTCTCTAACACATTTACCTTTGTAAACAAACCTCTGCTGCTCAAGAAAATCACCCAACAACATCACCTGGTTGAAACATTTCATGTTAATAATTCATCCACATTAATATACCTTATATTAAAACCATACACCCAAAGTTCTTACAACTCGTTTTGGCATGTCACCATATCTGTCACAGCGTCTGCTCTTAAGGTCAACACACAACACATATGCCCAGTTCTGTTGCATAATTGGAAAGAAAAACTGCACATAATCCAAAAAATTACACATTAACAAATTCACACAAACACAATGAACAACCAATAAACCACGCAGAACGTTACAACCGATTTCAATCTTCACATTTCATCTACTATAAACATTCTTACCAGTTCAGCTTTCCCCCAGTTGAAATCATCTGCCATGTCATCCCATGCAGGAAGCAGCGCATTTGCAAACATGTTCTTCACGTTCGCCTCAAACACATCGACTATATCCCCATTTGCTACCTATTGTTTTCAAAACATGTCAGCTCAAGCATCATGGGAAACACCCATCAAAGTTAAGTACGCACACAGAAAAAATAACAGCTTACACAATCCATGCTCCTAGCAAACACACGTAACGGGGATTCCTCACTTCTGAATTTCTCATTGTGGTTGAGTATTATTGACCACACATCTATCACCCTCTTTGAAACATGCTTCCCTATGTCCAACGATGCAATTTCACCTCTTGTTAACTCAAATTCATCCTTCACGAAAACAGCTTCATCCCTAAACATCATAATATGTGATTATTAAAGACCTAAAATTCAAATTTTAAACCATACGTATTCAATAATGTTTAAACAAATTTGTAGACTTGAAAACAAAACCATACTTTGGAGCATTTGGATTCTGCAACACCCAATTCGTCACCCTCTTCTCCAGGGCAGATAACCCATCGGAAGGTTCAACTGGTCGCGTAATGTAGGGTGATCTCAAAGGCCCGGCAGGTTTTATACTCCTAGCCAGCTTCCTTGCGCATTGTATTGCTTCACCTCCTACATATCAAAAATATTTCTAATTTTGTCAAAAAAAATCCACCCCAAACACCAATTACCATGCACGAATTAACTTTTGGCATCTCCCAAAAAAACATCCCTACCACTGCTTTTGAACATACTGGATCAGTTCCTGGCACAGTTACATCACCCACTGCACTCACACCAGCAACCTACGCATATATCAACCATTGGTGTTTTCACCACGAAACATAACGCAACACACAAATCACCAACACCATTAAAAATAACGGTCTTACCGCTGTCATCCCAAGCCTATCTGGCTGATTTCTACTTCCACCTGCCAAATCCCTATCAACTGCCTGCATCATCAAACAAAAAACAAAACAAAATCATTACGAATTGTTTAGGAACACCAAAACAACATGCTACACAACACCAAGGATCACTCTACAGCAATAATAAAAATTACATCTCCCACACGATAATGCACTTCTTCGGGTGTTATGAAAACATTTTCAACCACAGGGTTACTCTCCGGCTCATTCACTACCCGAACTGCTGGAGTGCTAGGAGTATTTCTGCAAGCACCGATATCACCACCATCAATATTCACATTCTCATTCACTCCATCCATTTGCGAGAACCCCAGACTGAAAGATGGCATATCCTCCATGATCTTCTTGTATTTTGAACGTGCCAGCACTGCCTCCTCAGTCGCCTTCAACTGTTCTATGTTTGCAGCGTTGCTCCAGAAACCTTCATCATAAGTCACTTCTGAAAAACCTCCATCAGGTGTTTCTAAGCTTCCACCGCCTCTACGTTGTGCCAGACCTAACAATCTACCCGCTGCAAGCTGTAGCTGCTTGAACACATCATTCTCCATGGTACCAGGTGGTGCACTCTCAATCAACGACACTAGGTCGATGATTGTGGTAGCCAGTACTTTCCCCTTTTCTGCAAACTTTTGAACAAAAACCTAATGCATAAGGATGTCATAAAATAAAAAGAATTAAATTTCAACAACCCAAAAAAAAATAAAATTCATTTTTTTGCCTATTAATCTCCCCCGCACTTACCTCTACCGGATCATCCCTCGGCTCTCCCATTGGTTCTGCCGTGTCACCATTACCAGTTTTGACATTAACCTGTTCTAAACACGCACCAACAACTGCGTCACCAGAGCTCACATCCATCACCTCACCCAGAAATCTACCATCGTCATACCCCAACCCGAATCCACCTGCTTTGACCTCGTTATTTTCCCTATCCCTTAGGATCTTAGATGTCCATCCCAGACATGCAGGCGACATTCTCTCTACGTCTCTACTATAGAGCACCACTCGGTCAACGTAGAACACCTTAAAAAAATAGATAACAAAGACCACATTAAAAAAAACTATATTAATGAAGTAAATAAGAGTTGTCAGAAAACAAAACTCTTACCATCAAGCACAAGAGTGGTCCAGTATAGCATTTCCTATTCCCCTTCTCCCACTTCACTCTACTATCAATCAAAGATCGGTGCACATATTCACACCAGTTTAACTGTGCAATCCCATCCACATCCTCCAAGCTTTTCAAAACCCAATTGTTTACATATCCATGGCTTGGGCTTTCAACCAAAACAGACACAACTAACAACACGAAAAGACGACAAAACCATACACCACCATCAGTATATTGCAGTACCTTTTCACTAAGCTCTAAAGGGCTGATCTTGTTGTCCCTCATTCCGATCTCAACCCTCAACTGCTCCACTATATCACACTTTTCACCTTTTTTTTTGCTTAATACCTTCAAACGCCCACATGGCAAACCCAAAACATGTCTAATATCATCGACCGTCACACGCACCTTTGTTCCATCTGCAAGTTCAAGACTGCTACTCCTAGGATTGAATTTATCAACCACCCAAAATCCTAGTTTTGCAGGAAGTTCAGTTAACTTGATCCTTAACATAGACCCAAACCCAATCCTAACAACATCCCGCCTCTGAACATCGTTCAAAGCTTCAACCACTTTTTGCAAAACGCTGGGAGAAGCTCTCGACTGAATTCGTGGGTACTTTTCCTTCAATTTTGTAATCCCTTGCCTCTTTCGTTTCTTTTCTGTTCCTGCATTCTTCCTCACAGTGCTCGGTGATGGGTCAGTTGACGTCTTCTGTGGTGGGTCTTCAAATGCATCATCACTGTCAGTCTCCTTATCTGCACTCCCATCATCATCTCCCCCACTCACTTCATCATCTTCAGACACATCTGAACCATCATTCTCATTCCCATTTGCACCACCATCTTCCACAGAATCTTCGTCATCCTCGCCCAAGTCGACATGCTCTGCGTATACTTTTGGCCTTTTCTTAATCTCTGCAAGCTGCAATCTACCGCTTCTTCGTATCGGTGAAGCCATTACAACTGTTTTCTTGCTGCGCTTGGAACTTTTTTTCAAGGCAATTCAAGATCTGCAGACCCCACCAAAAAAACCGATAACAAATACTCGTAAGCAAGGATACAGTGCCTAATCACATCATAAAAATTAACAACACCAACATGGTGATTGTGTCGACACCCAAACAAAAAAAACACACCAAACAACACAAAACTCGAATATCCAAACCATTTTACACTTTAAAGAATCAAATCCATATGTAATAGTATAAAATGCACAAAATTTAAATACACAACATTTCTATATACCAAAAAAATACCAAGCATAATGCAGATTAATAACCTACAGATTGATACAGTATCACATTTTTAACGAAGCTAGATGCACAGTAAGCCCTCCTCTATGCTAATATTAAAGCATGCATTGTGCAAAGCTAAGCAAACACCAACTACTACGTTATATGCATCAGACCACAAACAGAATTACTGACTCCAGCTGAACACTATTGAACTCCACCGCACCAATGTCAAAATGAAAAATTCTTTCAATACCATATCCCAAAAACTCTCATCACTGCTTACCATGCACCCTAAAAAAGTTAATCTGAAGCCACATTAAAACGTTTTCCACACTCACAGTATCTCATTGCTCAGACCAAATCATGACTCTCATTCATCCCATTTGAATCACATAAATCTATAAAATGCAAACTAATAATATAACTCTTATGAATGCAATGCACAATATTAGTAACAAAAGGATCACTAAGCAATAGCTCTTCACCAGGGGGAAACCAATACTGCTTTAACCAGCCATGTCATACATTGGCATACCCATACTGCTTTAACCAGCCAATGCAATATAACTTCACCAATACACACATACCAAAACGTAAGAAACACCATAACTTATAAACAAACACCATAGGCATCCAATGTATATCTCATAAGCAGGATACTTTACGAAAACCTAGATTCATTCTATACTTATAACAAATTAATTCAACACTTCAATGCTCATATAAAAACCCAGCAGAATGTCTATTGCACCACAACAATATAATCTACTTAAAAAAGGCCAAACCTGTTGCATAATTACAATAATTTAGTGCATATATGATAATAACACCTTAGGCAGACACAAACACTTAATCAGAACACAAAAATGCACTATAGCATATTCAAAAGAAAGAACTAAGGATCAGTTTGCACACAATTTAAAACTGTAAAGAATAACATCACAGTACGCATAATTCATTCACCAATACAGCATCACAACATCAAAAAACCAGATGCCCACATGCAATACACGAAACGCAATCAGACTACGCCAATGAATCTTTTAACAAATAACAACACTATCTATTACCTACACTACAAGGTCAAACAAAACCTGAAAAACCCCATATCCATGTTTGCAACTGATTTAATATAAACACTAAATTCAAAATAACAATTCACATTGCTCAGATTCAGCACATCCTAATTTTTTAAATGAACCCAAACTGCACATCATCATCAACATGATGCAAACACACGACACTGCACCACTTAAAATCATCAGAACATAAATAAACATCCATCATCCATATACTTATAATGAACAAAAAACCCACATACAACTTAAAAAAGATCATTTTGTCCCAGATTCAGAGAATAAATAAAAACACAAATCCTCGAAGTAAGACAAAACACATGCAAAAAAAACCCTAACCACAACCCAAAACCCAAAACCCCTACCAGTAGCCAAATTGTGCAGTAAGTGACAATTTTTCCCTCAATCAACAACTATCATGTGTAAAGAATGCATCCTTAAACACATGCAAAAAAAAACCGAAACCCAAGCCGCCCAAAAAAACACCCAAAAATTGGCACATACCAGATATTCCTTCAGCCTCCATCTCTGCAATCTTCTTTTCGTGGTACGAAACGGGCAAGGTCGACCTAAATGCTCCAATAACACCTTGAGAATGACAAATCGCTGCACCACTAGCGGAAGAAAGGCAGCGCAATCAGAGAGGTTTATTGAGAAGCGAAGAGTTCTATTCTAAGCCTGCGGCTTATTAGGCGGGATTCTCCAACATCTACGCATTTCAATAAAATCAAATCTCCCAAATATGCCCCTCCACGATTCTACTGTCAAAAGGAGTGTTTAATAATAATTACACTTCCTATTTTAAAGGTTGTTTCTCAGCCACACGATTGGATTAATCCTAGGCTCCTAATCCATTCTTATTTCTTTCATTGAGACATATTCTTATTAAAACCCAACCCTATATATATATATATATATATATATATATATATATATATATATATATATATATATATATATAGGGGAGGCATTCCACTTCGACTTGCAAACTAATAAAAAAATTGAAATATTTATTTATAATATCTTAGAGAAGCCTAAAACAGTGAAACAACATGGAAAAAATACTATAACATCCGTCAAAAGTCAAAACTATAAGTTTTGGAAAAACTATGAACAACTAGTTGGGTTGGGCACAAGTCATAACGGTTAAGGTTTTTAGGTGTTTCGATCCTAGCCTATATTTTATTATATTTGAATCTGGATATTTATTTTTATCAATATTGAGAAAATAAATATTATTATATTTTTTTGTATTATATCATTACATAAATAAATAAATATTCTCTCCGTCCCTGAAAACTTTTCTCGTTTCTTTTTTTCATCCGTATCAAAAAAGTTTTTATATTTCTATTAAAAAGTTACTTGTACCCCCACTAATTCATAACCTAGATATCACATAACATCTCTATTCACTATTAATCTAGTCATAAAATTCTACTTTTACCCATCACATCTAAGGACATTTTTGGAAACTCAACACCAAAATATATTTCTCTCAAACCCCTTAAAAATCAAATTAAAATCTCTCATATTTTCAGGGACAGAGGGAGTAAATAAATAGATATATACATACAAACGCGACAACGAGACAACAGAACAGAACGAGAAAATTTTTATGGGTCTCCGACCCGCCCCATTTTAAAATGGTTTGAAACAAGTTAAGGATAAAAAAAATTTATCCCAAACAAAACAGAACATTACAGAGACGGTCAATGAGTTTGAGATTCTTTCCCACACCTAGGCCAAGACAATTTGGGTCTTATACCATCATGTGTCGTCTCCCGTTTCAATCAAATGGTTCGGAATAGGTCATGCCACAAGCCTATCTGATCCCTCTTTGTCCCTTAATTAATATTTGAGATCGAAATAAAACGGAACGAGTTCTTGTTGTCGTATTTTGTCATTATCAAATTAAAGTTAGATTTAAAAATATAAAATACGCAAGCAAAATACAAAAGGGGGCGGGGAGGCAACTGAGACTCGCAAAGTAGAGGGAACAAAACAAAATATTTTAACTAGAATAACTTGGAAAAGCCAAAACAATAAGGCAACATGAAGAAAGCTACAACATTAGCCAAAAGTCCAAATTATAAGCTTCATAAAAACAAAGTATTAGCTAGAAATAATAGAGATAATAGAAAAAGAATTTTTTTATTTATTGCTTTCCATATTCTATCATTCTATAATTGTTGTTCTACTATGATTAAGATTTTCTCTTTTACTCCCTAAACATAGAGATGTAACCTTTATTATTCGTGAAAAACAATTGTTATTAAATTGTATCATGTTATTAGAGTTATTCAAAAAAAAAATCACAAATCAATCAACACATTCAGCTAGCCGACCAAATAAATTAAACTCATCAGTCATTTAGAACAACTGACACAAACAACCAACAACTAACAGTCAACTTCCAATTAAAGCCTTTATTTAGAAGCGGAGATACTTTTTTGGGACAGGTGAAAAGTGAACATGAAAAAGTGTTTTTAGTGAGTCAATTTAATTTTAGAAATAATAACTACTATTTCGGTTTACGAAAACACTTCCTCTTTCATTTTTTTCTTTTCCACCAAAAAGACTTCCACTTTCTATTAAAAAACTACTTCTACCCCTACCTTTTCTTACCCTAGATGTCACATCGATCCTACTTTTTCTCTACTAATCTATCTATCACATCTTACTTTACCTATTACATAAAAGGCAAAATTGAAAGTCAACTACAATTTAACACTTCCTTATTTTGGCACTTGGTCAAATTGGAAGTGTTTTCACTTTGACCACTAATATTTTACGGTCTTCAAGATTACACTTTGACCACTAATATTTTTATTTATACATGGATATATTTTATAAAAATTTGATATTTGAAAACTATGTTTCAAAATGAATAAATTGATATTAAAGTTATATCTTAATACAATGTATTATTTCCACATATCATAGTTAAAATTTACAAAATTTGACCAAGGGAAATGGGAAGAATATTTTTGGACGGGGGAGTACTCCATATATGGCCATACGGAGTAACTAACTCAGCACGTAATAGGATTGTTTTTTGGCGTAATTAAGCTCCTTATAATACACGGAGTAGTAATACTAATGATGATAATACTCCCTAATCCCTATCTCATCTGTATTATGATTACACAAAAAAACTCTATATATATACTTCTCTTCCACGCTAGCGCATCTAATAATTAATTAAAGAGAATATATATATATTTACGAGAATATATACCTTAGGGTTCATTCATAATAATTCATAATATACCTTAGGGTTCATTCATAATAATTAATTAAAGAGAATACATATATTAACGACATATATATATACCGGATTTAGCTTAGTTAGGGTTTAATTAATGGAAGCTAAGCTGAGCCACAGCGATAATAATAATAATGTCATTGTCCCCATGGGACGGAAGGAGGACGACGAGGCCTACTTCCGGCGTATCCCGCCCGGTTGGGGGTTTCATCCGACGGATGAGGAGCTCATCGTTGACTACCTTGCGAGAATGGTCAAGAACGAGCCCCTTCCCCGTAACAAGATTATGATTGTTAATCTTTATGATTACAATCCCCAAGAGCTATCAGGTAATTAATTACCACCGTAAGTTAATCCTCCCGCTTCTTAAAATACTTCTTCTTTCTATGATCTTTTTTTTGTTTTCTCCAAAACACTTCTACTTTTTACCGTAGTATTAAAAACACACTTTTACCTTTATTTTTTCTTACTCTATCTATTGCATCATACTTTTTCACTAATAATTCATCCATCAGATCTTACTTTTAAATATCAAATTGAGGACAAAAGTAGAAAGTCAACTACAAATATACATTCCTTATTTCTATCAAAATTCAAAATAGGAATCATTTTATGAAATGGAGAGAGTACTAATTTTTTCAGTCCTGACTTTTGACTTTTGAAGTCAAATTTTTTCAGTCCTGAAATTAATTTTTTCAGTTTGACTTTTGAAGTCAAATTTTGTAAACTTTGACCTGATATAATTAGAAAACAATATTGAATTTTTATGTAAATTTAATATCAATATATATAGATTTATTTTGAAACTGTTGACTTGTTCATCCCACATCGGCCATGCAGCCTTACATTGTGCTGCTATTTAATAGCTTGGGTACCTCAACCTCTTGAGTTAACTTTTGGGGTTGAATTGGGCCCAAGTCTATTGTTTCAACAGAAACATGCATTAGAAATAGAAATATTTTGTTTTTATAATATACTCCCTCCGTCCCAAAAAGTTTGTTACGTTTAGAAAAAACTATGTTCGGTAAAGTTCGTTACATTTCTATTAAAAAACCACTTTTACCCCTTATTTTTTCATACCCTACCTATCACATCATACCTTTTTCCTAATAATCTACCCATCACATCCTACTTTTACCCATCACATCAAGGGTATTTTTGGAAAGTCAATGCCAAAATATCGCTCCCTTAATTTCCCAAAAAGTCAAACTGTCTCATTCTTTTTGAGACGGAGGGAGTATATACATATATAAACAGAGATATTAATGATTAAAATATTACATTAAGAACTGTAAAAAATCAAATGAAAAATTAATTAAATGTCTATTTGTGTCTATTTTTATTTCTGTCATGGTGTACATTTGCTGTATCGCAAATGAGGTTCTCCTAATACTCCATGTTAAATACTACGTAATTATTATTATATTGCATACATATATGCAGGAATGTGTCGAGAGAAGGGCAGGGGAGAGGAAGAGAGCTGTTATTTTTTCACGCCAACGGTACGCAAGTATAAGATGGGGCAGCGTCCGGACCGGGCAGCCAAAGACGGATACTGGAAGTCTACCAGCGCCAAAGAGGCCATAAAAAACTCCGATGGGCAAACGGTCGGGTTCAAGAGGTCTTTGGTTTTCTATATCGGGAAGTCATCGGCGTCGAAAGAAAGAAGTGTGAAAACCAATTGGCTAATGCAGGAGTACCGCGTTGATGATTCTAGAGTTTCTCACCGCACCCATGAACATACCATGATGGTAAGTAACTACATCAAATTGAATAATTTACCTAAATAAGATTAAAACATAATGACTTTCCCAAAATAGAATCATATGTTTTTATTTTCGAATGTAGGACCTTTGGTCATTAATGTTTAGTCATTATTCAAGTAATGTCTATCATTGCTGGGCATTATTCCTTCCACGAAGACATTATTAAGTCATATTTAGAGAATAAAAAAGTTTAAGTTCTAGATTAGGAAAGTTATTATGTTTTAGTCCTATTTAGTGCAAATTTCACTAATCAATTTACCATGAATATACTCTCTCCGTCCCGGAAAACATGAGAGTTTTGATTTTGAAGAAGGATGTAAGGAGAGTGTATTTTAGTATTGAATTTTCAAAAATGTCCTTTGATGTGATGGATAAAAGTATGATTTGATGGATAGATTATTAGTAAAAAGGTATGATGTGATAAGTATGGTATGAAAAAGTAAGGGGTAAAAGTGACTTTTTAATAGAAATGAGAAGTGTTTTAGGGACGGATGAAAAAACAAAGGAGAAATGTTTTCAGGGACGGAGGGAGTAATAAAGATAAATAGTTTGACAAAATATACATTAAATATCTTCTATGTTTTCAAAAGTTATTTCTAAAGTCTCGGTAGTTTTAAATGTTAGATCTATATATCATTAAAAAGAGGTGAAAAAGAGGCATTGGAGTTTATTTTCTAAACCATAGGGGCACTGATGCTCATTTCTTATTTTTTATTGTTTTTTCTTTTTTTTTCCATTATTTTTTTTATTAATCACGATTTTTATATATTTCTTTAAAATGTTTTATAATGTTCCTAACATTTAAAATTATTTTTTCAATAGATTAACATATAATCTCAAATCAATAATTTTTATTTTTTGTTTATTGAAATAAAAAAGTAAATCTTTTTTTGAGAACTTTAAAAAATGAGGAGTAAAATAAGAAATAAATTAAAACAAAAAATTAAAATGAATATCCTTTTCGCACATCCCAATTTTGAGAACTTTTTTAAGCGTTCTGCAATTTTTTTCTATATAAGACTCTTTTTTGCATGTTTCAATTTTTTTCATTTAATTGTTCCAATTCTTATTTTTATTTTTTTCTTGATTCTCTTTTTGAACCTAACGGAAAATTAATCTAGAAAATAAAAGTGAAAATGTTTAATTTGTGATAGATTGAATATATGTTATGTTGTGTATTTTTATTTCAAACACAATAAATTTTAAATTTTTTAAAATATTATAAAAGATTTATATCTTGGGAAAGGAAAAAAAGAGATAAGAAGTTTAAAAAAATGAAAAAAAATAAATAATAAACGAAAAATAAGGAATGAGCACGTGTGCCCTCTATATTTTAGAAAAAAGGCACTAACGCCCCTCCTTTACCTGGAAATAATCAGAAGAAGATGTGAGTAAAACATTTTAAAAACCCGGAGACTTTAGAAATAAAGTCAACCACACATTCACACCATATCTATATAAGAATTCATCTAATATGTCATATTTTTATTCATCACATTAAGTGTAACTTAGAAAAGTTAATGCAAAAATATCCTTTCTTTAAAGCTTATTATAAAAATCCAAATAATTAAGAGATTTAGGGAGAGATGAAGTATATCTATCATAATAAAGGTGAAGTTGGAATAACCCTTGAGTAAGCCTTAATTAGGTTTTTTGAAGTCTAACCCTTGCATGGTACAAAAGAAGTTTTGTTTTAGAGTCTTTTTTTTTTAAATTTTTTTTTTGACAAATTTAAAAACGCTAGGGACTAGGGAGTAGTAAAACGCTAAGGTTTGGTTAATTTGTTTTGCTTTGGATCTCTTTGGTGTTGGATGCAGCTAGACAACTGGGTTCTATGCAAGCTTTACAAGAGAGTGGATAGTAAAGCAAGTAATATAACACCCATAAGTAATAATGAGGATGCCGCCGATAATGCAAGCGAAGGAGAAGACGGTCGGGAAACTCATCATGAGGATTACATGGAGGAGACACCCACCGCCACCGCCATCCCCGCCCTTGAAACAGATGGAAATGAGCAAACTCCGGCGGTCGAATTTGAGCTATTTGATGTTGTGAAGCCGTTCTTAATAAATAAATAACTCCCACTTCCATTGTTGATTTATTTGTAAACCTAACCTAGGTTGTTAATTACGAAGTGCACTACGGAGTACATTTTAGACTATATATCCTTCGGTCCCAAAATTTAATCTTTCCATTTTACAAAATATTTCTGCTCTAAAGTACCCCAAAATGTCTAAAGTATCCCAAAATAACTTCTACCCATCACGCGCGAACTACTCCCTTCGTCCCTAAAAACATGAGAGGTTAGAAATTTTAAAAAAGAAATATTTGCACTAAATAATACTAAAATTTAAGTCATTTCTCTAAATAGGACTTAAATTGTTTTATTCCCTAAATAGCACTTAATAATGCCCATAATGTCCTGTGATGGCAAATATTAACTTGAATAATGACTAATGCATAATGACTAAAAGTGTTACATTGAGAAGAAAAAGACATATGGTGCTATTTAGGGAAAGTCATTATGTTTTAGTGCTATTTAAGTAAATTCCTCTTTAAACAATTTAAGAGAAGTGTAGTTTTGCATGTGTTGAGTTTTTAGAAATGTTGTTTGATGTAATGAGTAAAGTTGAATTTGATGGGTAGATCAATAGTGAATAAATGTGAAGTGATATCTTGGTTAAGAATTAGTAAATTAAAGGTAAAAGTAACTTTCTTATAGAACTGAGAATTTTTTTTGAACGGATAAAATAGGAATAGAGAAAAATTTTCAGAGACATAATATGATGTATTTTATACTCCCTCCGTCCTATATTGATCTTCCCACTTTGACTAAATGTCATTTTTAAGGGATGAATAAATATGGCTTTGACTTCCAAAAATACCCTTCCTTCCCTAGGGCAGTGATTGAGAAGAGGGGGTGCAACACGGAGACGAAGAGATGGGCCGGGTCATGATTCTGCTAAGGGGGGAGTCGATGGGCTCACTGAACCCGAAGATCCGGAAACCGTGCCGGCGGAGACGATTGAGAGAGTCGGCGACGATTTAAGGGATGACTCGATCTACTCTCACTGCAACTAGAAAGAGTAAAAGTTCAACCTGGCACTGAACTTCCAAAAAATTGAAAAAGAAAACTAAAAAAACTAACCAAAAAATCATCACTGGAGTACTGGTTGTCGGCAAAGGTCAACACCGACAAATCCCGGTGCACAAACCACATACTTCCTGAGCACCTAGTTATCGGCAAAGTTCAAAGCCGGAGTACATATGGTTGTGGTCTCCGCTATAGGGCTGACATCCAATGAATCGCCGATATCTCCCCTTGATATCAGAGATGATGAAAAATCGTAGATCGAAAGGGGGAGAAAACTTTAGATCTAGATCTATGATTTTGAGAAAGAGGCGAAGAAAGAAGTGAAATTTGCACTAACACTACAAGAATTTCAGATTTTTGCGACGGAATATTTCCGTCGCAATTGGCTTCTTTTCTCTCGCAAAGAAGAGTTGCGACGGCGTTTGCGACCACTTTCATTCCGTCGTAGTTTTTTGGTCGCAAACCGCCGTGCGACCATCCCGTCGCAACTCTGCGACCATATTTACGACGGTCTTTAGCCGTCGTAGATTTGCGACGGACTTTACAAGAGATTCAAAATGTTCTTGTAGACATATTTGCGACGGAGAATTGCGACAGATGGAAATCATCGCAGTGGATTTGCGACGGCATTTGCAACTCCCAGTATAACATGTAAAACGTTTGCGACGGAATATGTCCGTCGCAAACTCCGTCGCAACATAACCAGATTCTGCAGGCAGAGATCAGTTTCTACAGGCAACCATACAGCTACAAAATTAGCCAAAAATCATATACCAACTAGAACAAAAGACAGAAACAGGAAAAAAACACAAGAAATGAACAATGAGAATTTTCAAACAAACCAAATATTGATCATAATCAGAGTAGTCTCTAATCCACAAAATGTATTATGCCTCAAATATAAGGTACTTAACAATAATAAATAAGGGAAGTATAATGTTCAAACACAGCCCGTAGTACCACCTGTACCACCACCATCTTCATTATCAAATCGACCATCACCATGACGACCGCGGAGCATTTTTAATTCCTCTAATATCGTTTTATCCCTTGCTTCAACCATTGCTTTGAATTCTAGCAATTCCTTGCGCAAATTAAGAACTTCATTGTTCTCCATGTCGGAGATACCGCTCGTGCTGGCTCGTCTGCTCTGTCTGACTGTCTCAGAGTATTCTTTGGAATTTTACGCGCAGCTGAACCTGTACCGAAAACACGATTTTTTGCATCATGTCCATCAGCTGTCACATAAAATAGTTCTTTTGGCGCAACATCAATCCCCTCCTGAATAGCTTGTTCTTTCAAACTATTATAGTTCTCCTACATAATTTATGGATAACAAAATAACTCATACATACTTGTACATATAAATTATTACACACACACAAATATATAAATTATTGCAAAAGCTTATGACTTACTGCCACTGTCGCTGCTTTTTCGGTGATCCACGTTTTTTTGTCATGATTTTTGGTGTGGGTGTGGGTGTACGAGACAAAGGTAGAATCTTCTCCCTCGTCTAAGCTTTGGCTCTAATTTTAAAACAATAGAGTTATTATTAAATGAGTTAATGTTATCACTATCTACATTTATGTAATTAGCACTTACAAGAATCTCAAGAGACTCGTCAAAAGAGCGCTGTCCCCCAGTGTGTGTGGGTTGTGCCGGCGCATTTATATCTCCTCCACGTCTATTTGCTTTATTCTTTTGACAAAGAGCCAAATATTTCTCCTCAGCCCACATCTATGTAAATATAACAATGAATTTGGTTTTCAATTATAAACATAAGAAATAAATTATTTTTAGATAATGTCATCTATATTACATTATATTAATGATTTACCCGCTTCCAACCATCTACAATGCTCGCATGCACCTTTTCCCTTCCTTGATCTTTGAGTCTTTTAGGATTTTTTATATTCCCAACAAAATCAGCATAACGATCTGAGGCTTTACGGAAGAAAGCTCCCTTCATGACATTATCATCTATTGCAGGGTGCCAAAAGACATTTTTCTGCATATATTATTATTACAACGAAATTCTATTTTAAGTTTTTTTATCACACACCTTCAAACATGCTACAAAAAGATTTAATAAATTACTTAAATATACCTGAAACTCTCTCCAGTAAAACTCTTTGTAAGGCTCGCCCACGTTTGCCCACCTAAAGCCATTAGGATCAACCTTTCTCTCGAATGACTTTGCAATCGTCCTAATGGCTCTCTTGGGCATTACCAACCTACATTTTAAAAAATATATGTTATTTATACAAAAACATACGCAAAATGATGTTATAATGAAACAAACATAAATGATAAATCAACTAATACCCATTATGAGCGTCCAAGAAAACCTCATATCGATGGTGATTGTCAGCCTGGTAATCACGCTCCTCGCTCTCATCATGAGGCCGGTCATCTTCCATTTCATCATTAGTCCTAGAATCTGTGTTAATATAAATAAATATAAAAAAGTTTTGTGATTCAAATATATTCCATCCTCATCCTCTATAATAGAAATACATACCATCCTCATCTTGAGTTTGGGGTGGAACATGTGTGGAACCCGCACTATAACCATGAGAGTGAATGCTATCATTCTGCTCAGACGATGGGGTGTCTGGAGTAGTGTGATGCTCCTCTGATCTACTCTGGCTAGATGAGGACCCACTTGTAAGCTTCAACCGCCAAAGTCTGCTCCACTTATTTAACGACTTAGAATTGTCGTCAGCTTTCCCTTTACCTTTACCTGCCATCTGCAACACATGATTAAAATAGAATTAAAAACACTCATAAATAAAAGAATTATTTTAGCATCGTATTACTTCATATAATTTATAAAATGTACTATTAATTTTCATACTCATTAATTACATTTAGTCATCATCAAAATCCTCGCACTCATCTTCGCACTCATCATCAAAATCATCACACTCGTCTTCAGTACTGAGTTCTACTTCATCAACATCATCCCCCTCATCTTCACTGTCATCTAAGTCAACGTATTGAGTCTCTTGATCTTCATCGTTGCTTATTGGCTCAACATCACCCATTAAGTTTATGTCTTCAAGTGTTGTCTGATTACTTTGGTCTTCTTGAAAAGCTTCATCTGTCAAAGTGGAGTCCGCAATTGATTCTTTCTCAATCCATCCCCTAGGCTTCACACTACAAACAGCTAACCAGTTCCCAGAAGTTCGTTGTGTGGATGGGTATTCAATGTATGCAACTTGAGACGCCTGCGTCGCTAAAATAAAAGGCTCATATTTGTTGAACACGCCTTTCTTAAGTACATCAACCAAATTATATTTTTCATGTATCTTTGTTCCGGTTCCTGGACGAGGATCATACCACTTACACTTAAAAACCACACAACGTTTTAGGGGCCAAGCAGGATATTCAACTTCTATTATTTCTTCTATTCTTCCATAATAAGTACCAAAGTCGGCCACACTTGACACACCACTATTATATGTTGCCCGTTGTGAACCATGTTTCTCGGTGTGAAAACGGTAACCATTGACATAAAATATGGGATAAGTATTAACAATTGCTGAAGGGCCTCTTGACACATCTCGGATTAGATCACTGCATTCCTTATTAGCCCAAGCCTATCATAAAAATGTGTAGTATACAACTTTAGGTAATATGTATTATGATAGATCAAAATAGAGCTATTAT